GTCAGTACATTGGAAACAGTCCCGCAGGGCCTCCTCCACCCCAGGAGACCACTTTCTGAAGGAACGTGTGGTGATGGGTTGCTTCACAACTTTGAGCTTATAGTGAGGCTGGAGCAGAACCAGATTGTGGTCTGATCTCCCCAGTGACGGTAAAGAAATGGCAGTGTTTGCATCCTTATAATTAGCAGACAGTTGATCAATAGTTCTGTTTCCTCTGGTGGAACAGTCAACACACTGGCAGAAAGCAGACAGTGAGGAGTCCAGTGTGACGTGGTTAAAATCCCCAGAAATAAACATGAAGGCGTCTGGGGGCTGTGTCTGCAGTCTCGCGGACCGTGTGGATGATGTCACACGCGGCTTTGGCTTGTGCTCGCGGGGGATGTAAACACAAATCGTGATGGTGTGTGAAAACTCTTTAGGCATGTAGTAAGGACAGAGACTTACAGCCAACAGCTCAATGTCCCTGCTGCAGGTGGTCATCTTCACAGTAACATGTCCAGGATTACACCATCTGTTGTTGATAAATATCGCAAACGGCCCCAGCCTCCCTTTACGCTTCCTGCTAGCCTTCGTGTCTCTGTCTGCTCTGACTGTAGTGAAGCCGGGTAAATCCACGTTAGCGTCCGGGATGCTAGCGGTTAGCCATGTCTCAGTGAAACACAGTAAACTGCACTCCCTGTAGATCCTCACTGCATCTTCACCAATGCAACCAGTTCATCGGTTTTGTTAGCCAGTGAGTTGACATTCCCCATAACCACAGACGGAACTAAGGGCTTGAATCTCCACCGCTTCTCCCGGCACCTACCCTCGCCCGCTCGGCATCCCCGGTACTGCCGTCTCACCTTTCGAGGTAGATGGGGGACAACACCGGCACTGGCCGAAGTCCTGAGAGCAAACAGCTGATCTCTCATGTAGACTAGTCCTTGGCCGTTATTCAATAATAAAAAGTCCTTATCCATAGGATAGAATAAAAGCACTATACTAAATATATAATGACAAAGTTAAAAGTAAAAGAGGGCTATAAAAGACACAAGAGCTCAAACAAAGCTACTGGAGGAGCTGCCGCTCGCAGCTGGCGCTCATTAGATGGAGACAGACTGAAAGATAGACAGATAAACTGGAAGACGGACAGATAGACAGATAGAAAGGTAGATGGGTTGACGGCCAGACTGATGTATAAATAGGCAGATAGAAAGACAAATAGATTGATAGATGGACAGACGGAAAGGCAGAGACAGATGGATTGATAAACAGATAGATAAACTGGAAGATGGATAGAGGCAGATAGGTAAATGGAAAGATGGATAGATACACAGATGTCATTAGGAATCAAATGTTTCTTCATTTTTCCAGATATTTTTCAAATGAATGATTTTTCTTCCTCTCTCTGTAGCGCCACAGCCGCAGTTCCCAGTACCACCACTGGGGGCGTCCTCCCGCTCACCCGTCCTGGAGCCGCCGGTGCAGCTGGAACAGTGGAGGCCCGAGGGCCGGGGGGGGCATCGGGGGCAGTTTGCGTGTGCGCAGTGTTCACTCTCACCCCGCGGAGCATGAGTCTCTCCTGCCCCCCCCACCCTCCCTGTCCCGCCGGGCCCGTCTCTCTCTCTCTCTCTCGCTCGAGCTGCCCGAGGTTCTGCAGCGCCCCCCTCTGGCCCGGATGAAGAGCGAGGTCCTGCAGCGCCCCCCTCTGGCCCGGATGAAGAGCGAGGTCCTGCTGCGCCCCCCTCTGGCCCGGATGAAGAGCGAGGTCCTGCTGCGCCCCCCTCTGGCCCGGATGAAGAGCGAGGTCCTGCTGCGCCCCCCTCTGGCCCGGATGAAGAGCGAGTCTGCTGAACACCAGGACTGTAATGGGAAGACCCCTGGCCCTCAGGGGCCACTGCTGGGAGAGATTTATCCACAGCTCAACGCACGCAAGGACAAGAACAACCTGGAGGAAGACACTGACTATGTGAGTGTAGATGGATATACAAACTGACAGATGGATGGATGGATGGAGGGTGAATGTATGGATAGGTAGATGGATAAGTGGATGGATGGGTGGATGGATAGGTAGATGGATTGACAGACAGATGGATTGATAGACGGATGGATGGGTGGATGGATTGGTAGATGGATTGACATACAGATGAATGAATAGGCAGGGACTGATGGGTTGACAGATAAACAGATGGATAGATAGATGTATATACGGATATATAGGTAGACGGACAGATAGATAAATTAAAAGAGATATATAGAAAGATAGACAGACAATAGATCTGTATAGATAGATAAACTGAAAGATGGGTAGATGGTCAGATATGTAGATGGATGGATGGATGGATTGATACCTAGATTGGTAGATGGACAGATTGATTGAACGACATACAGATGAATTGACAGATGGATGGATGATGAATAGGTAGATGGATAGGTAGATGGATGGGTTGATAGGTTGATAGATAATTTGGAAGACTGGAAACTAACAGATGAAAATATAGACTGATGGATGGAGGGATGGATGGATAGACTGATGGATGGAGGGATGGATAGATAGGCATGGATTGGTAGATGGATTGACAGATGGATAGATGGATGGATGGATAGGTAGATGGATTGACATATGGATAGATAGGTGGATGGATGGATGGATAGGTAGAGGGATTGACAGGTGAATGGATGGATTGACAGACAGACAGATGGGTGATAGATGGATGGATAGATGGATAGATAGGTGGATGGATGGATGAATAGATAGGTTAGGTAAATAGGTGGATGGATGGATGGATGGATGGATGGGTAGATGGATAGGTGGATGGATGGATGGATGGATAGGTTAGGTAAATAGGTAGATGGATAGGTGGATGGAGGGATGGCTGGATGGATGGATGGATGGATGGATAGATGGGTTAGGTGGATAGGTAGATGGATAGGTGGATTGATGGATGGATAGATGGATAGGTGGATGGATGGACGGATAGATAGGTTAGGTAGATGGATGGATGGATAGATGAATTGGTGGATAGATAAGTTAGGTAGATGGAGAGGTGGATTAATAGATGGATAGGTGGATGGATGGATGGATGTAACGATAGATAGGTTAGGTAGATGGATAGGTGGATGGATGGATGTATAGACTGATGAGTGGATGGATGGATAGACTGATGGATGGATGGATGAAAGGATAGACTGATGAGTGGATGGATGGATAAAAGGATAAAAGGATAGACTGATGAGTGGATGGATGGATAGACTTATGGATAAAAGGATGGACTGATGGATGGATGGATGGATGGATAGACTGATGAGTGGATGGATGGATAGAGTGATGGATGGATGGATAAAAGGATAGACTGATGGATGGATGGATGGATGGATGGATGGATGGATGGAAGGATAGACTGATGAGTGGATGGATGGATAGACTGATGGATGGATGGGTAAAAGGATAGACTGATAGATGGATGGGTAAAAGGATAGACTGATGAGTGGATGGATGGATAGACTGATGGATGGATGGATAAAAGGATAGACTGATGGATGGATGGATGGAAGGATAGACTGATGAGTGGATGGATGGATAGACTGATGGATGGATGGGTAAAAGGATAGACTGATGAGTGGATGGATGGAAGGATAGACTGATGAGTGGATGGATGGATAGACTGATGGATGGATGGGTAAAAGGATAGACTGATGAGTGGATGGATGGAAGGATAGACTGATGAGTGGATGGATGGATAGACTGATGGATGGATGGATAAAAGGATAGACTGATGGATGGATGGATGGAAGGATAGACTGATGAGTGGAAGGATGGATAGACTGATGGATGGATGGATGGATGGATAAAAGGATAGACTGATGGATGGATGGATGGATGGATGGATGGATGGAAGGATAGACTGATGAGTGGATGGATGGATAGACTGATGGATGGATGGATGGATGGAAGGATAGACTGATGGATGGATGGGTAAAAGGATAGACTGATAGATGGATGGGTAAAAGGATAGACTGATGAGTGGATGGATGGATAGACTGATGGATGGATGAAAGGATAGACTGATAGATGGAGGGATGCTCTTCTCTCAGCTCTGCTGTTGAATCCATTATGCTAAATTCAGATGATTGTCCCTGAGAAGCAGAAAAAGTGAATAAAGTCCTGATGTTCTCTCTGAGCCGGACGCTCACAGCATTAAAGTTCTTGAGCGAGGCCTTTCTTTCAGTGAAGTGATTTAAAAACGCTTTGTGCATCAGTTTGAGCGTGTCATTAGAAGAGCGCTTCACTGGTGAGCGGGATCATCCCGTCTGACAGAGGACTGAGGAGAAACTCGGCTCATTTCAGCTTTTAATAAACGACTCGTCAGTGAAATCCAGCAGCGGCTGATGTGGAGAATAAACAACATGAAGAAGCTCATTATGAGCGGTGACAGCAAACACAATAGCCGAACTCCTCTGGGCACAGCGACTGTCCGATCGCATGAATGTGGACGTCACACGGATGTATTAATCCTCATATATTACTCCGCTTATTGGAAATGTCTCCCAGGGAAATTGAAATTTTATTCAAAGTTAATTGGAAAGAGTTACCTTCATCTCAGATAACCGTGTGTGTGTGTGTGTGTGTGATACGCAGAGCCTGTGTTTCCGTATCCAGAAGATGATGGAGGTTTATCGTCCAGACTGGTGTGAGAAGAGGGAGGATTGGTCCATTTACTTATTTTCCCCGCATAACAAGTACGTATTTACTGAGACTCTCATTCTGTTCCAATCTGTTGAATGGTTCTGATTGACTGAATGATGAGAGTAATAGTCCTTCTCTACTGTACTGATGTATTACTGTGGGGAATCTGTACTGTACTCGAGCTCTGTTAAACTGAATACTTGTACCTTTACTCAGTTACATTTTACAGGGTGAAAATCATACTTTTAACTCCATTAAAATTTCACGTAGACTTTCAAGTACACATGTCTTAAATCATTCTCAGTTATTTAGAAATAAATAGTATTTTATTTATCCTAATGCGCCGCTTAGTAAATGATGACAGAACTAACTAGTCCTTTCAGACACAGACTCTCAGATCTGATCAGATTACTTGTAATGGAGTAAAATGTTTGGTTTTTGGATTTTACACCCCTGATGTTTTCTAATCAGTGCGACACTTGATCTGAACTGTGAATATAGTCATTATCTGTGTGTCGTGTCTAAACGGCTTTCAGACGTCACTGTAAAACACCAGCTCTGCTGTCCTCTCTGCTGAGCTCTGAAGCGTCTGGCTTCGTCTACGCTAATCCGGATACATTTGAAAACGGCGTTTTCGTTTAAAAGCGCTCTCCGTCCACACTAGTGTTTTCAGGAGTTTTCAGGCGTCTTCCGACGTCTCAGTGCGGATGAGAAACTTTTGGAAAACGCCTGAAAACACTAACTTCCCCTTTACTGCGCATGCGTAAACCCTCACAGAAGCTCTGAGATGATACAGACGGAAACATAAATAATAAAGTTATCGCGCAGGATCATTTTATTTAGCGGAATATCTCCTCATTCACGGATGGTCCAGGTCACTCTCACTCATCATTATATGTTCGGTCTAAAACGCTAAAACTGTTCTCATGTTTCACCGCAGGACAGCAGATGCGAGTGAATCTTCTGTCATCTGTGCAGGACTGTGATATGAAGAGTGTGTGAAGTTACATATTTCAGCAACAGTGTGAAAGTGAACCGCACATAACAGGCACAATACCGCTATAAACACGAATATCTATTGGTACAACATGCGTCACATGACTAAACTTACATCATCGCTTTTAAATACCTGCGTTTTGACAGTCCACACCACAACACGAAACTGCGTTTTCAAATGTATCCACTCTGGAGAGCGTTTTCATTAATATAACGCCGTCTCAGTGTGAACGGAAGGCCAAAACGGAGAGAAAAAGACGTGTTTTCAGACGAAACCGCATTAGAGCAGACAAGCCCACGCTGAGATCTGATCTCTGATCGCTGGAAGAGCCTCACATGTCCTTCACTGCGCTGGAGCTCCACTCCTGCTGCGGCTCATGACAGATCTCATATGTGCAGGTCTCCAGACACACACACACACACACACACACACACACACACACACGGAGAGTCTCAGGCCTGACACACAGCATGTGTGCAGATTAATGCTCATATGAGCCGATCAGAGCCGATCCGGTGCACACAGCAGACGCACTGGTGGAGGGAGCAATATGGGGCTAGATTTGTTGCATTATTCCAAATAAATAGATTGAGATTCACAAATAAATGCAAAGAGAATCAGAAAAAAAATAATCAAATTCACAAATAAATAGGTTAGGATGCACAAATAAATGTAAAGATTTTCACAAAAATTTATAAAATTCACAAATAAATTAAATGAGATTTGCAAATAAAATAAATATTTACAAATGTGTTTGTCACGAACACAACTCTGCCTGGCATTCATTTGTGAATCGCTTCCATGCATTTGATAAAGAATGAATAACACATTTGTATTTTTTTTAAATTTGCAAATCTCATTTATTTATTTGTGAATTTTATAATTTTTTTGTGAAACTTTTAACATTTATTTATGAATCTCAATCTATTTATTTGGGGAAATGGAACAATTCTAACCCCATAGAAAACTAACTGAAATGACACTAAATTTACAGCGCAAATTTAGTCTCTCTCTCTCTCTCTCTCTCTCTCTCTCTCTCTCTCTCTCTCTCTCTCTCTCTCTCTCTCTCTCTCTCTCTCTCTCTCTCTCTCTCTCTCTCTCTCTCTCTCTCTCTCTCTCTCTCTCTCTCTCTGCAGGTTTCGTCTGATGTGTCAGACTATCATCGCTCATAAGCTCTTTTGACTATGTGGTTCTTGCTTTCATCTTCCTCAACTGTATCACAGTGGCTCTGGAGAGACCCAGAATCCACCAGGGCAGTCTGGTACGTTTCATCACTCAGATTCACACACACACACACACCGCTCACAGCTTGAGTCAGCGCGACTCGTCTCGCCGTAGTGACACACTGATTTGCAGCTCCGCATGAACACTGTCACAAAAAAAGAAGAAAAAAAACACTGTCACATGTGCTGGAGCTTCATAGAGGAGAAACGGCAGGTTTAATTCCACCGCAACGATTGGTTTATAATATATAGTATCTTCCTTTTAATTGGAAATCAATATATGTCTGGCAACTTGAAAAAAATCTTTAAAAATGTTTTATTGAGGTCTACAAAAGTTAAACATTTAATAATCTATAAGCATTTCTCAGATTCTATGTACATTAAGTATGTAAAACAATACGGTCAGTACATGAACTAGAACCAGATCAATGCATTTATTTCCATTCAGAATGATGGAAACTGACAGAAAAACACCAGACTTGAAAGAGCCTTATCCTGTGGCTCCTCTCGTGGGAAACATTAATATCAACATTTAAACATTTAGAGTCAATCATTTTATCCCTTGAAATCCATCTTTGATCACCAAAAGTACATATTTAAATGTTATTTCCTTGAAAAATATTCGTCATGTCTCATAATATCTTGAATGTAACTCGACACCCTTGCCTCATTTGGTATGCGCGGTTCTATGAATATGCAAATGAGCCCCGCCTCCACTCACTCACTCAGCTCAGAGATCCACTGGTTGACGATCACACGTTGATCTGATTGGTTACAAGGTCGTTTGTGACGTCAGAAACACCAGCGATTTCAAACCGTGTTTTGAGACTGTCTTTGGTTCACTGCAGTTTTAAGGAGGAAATACTCAGCAATGCTGTCGACTTATGAACTTACACATGGTTTAAGCGTATTAAACACACCACATAGACACATAAACAACATGAAACGCTGGATTTTCACCACAGGGGGAGTTTAATAATCTATAAGCATTTCACAGATTAACATGAACATTATGTAAAACAATACTGTCGGTACACCATCGTGTCCTAACTGGGTACAAATAAGACTGAAATAAAAAAAAAGCTTAAAGATATTCAACTGAAAATGTTTATGCATTGAAGAGCGTCACACACACACACCCTAGTAACGATTTATAGATGTTGCAGTAGTTCTCAGATCGTTTGGCTAGTTATGTGCCTGGTCCTGTAGAGGCTCAGCTGTGTTAAATCTGTGGACTTCAGCAGGACTGGTGTGACATTTCAAGCGTAATAATCACAGGATATTTTACCCCTGTAATGTAGAAGTCTCACATCACATTCTTAGCTTGACATTTCTGGTGCCGCTGTATCATTACCTCACACTGCCTTGTCTCTCTCTCTCTCTCTCTCTCTCTCTCTCTCTCTCTCTCTCTCTCTCTCTCTCTCTCTCTCTCTCTCTCTCTCTCTCTCTCTCTCTCTCTCTCTCTCTCTCTCTCTCTCCCGTCAGGAGCGAGTCTTCCTCACCATCTCCAACTATGTTTTCACTGCCATCTTTGTGGCCGAGATGACAGTCAAGGTAACGTCTCACCTGAGCACTTCATGTGTGTGTTTCCAGAAACTGAGACACTTCTGTGTTCAAACAGTAGCGTAAAAACCTTCCGCTGCTCATATAGACACAAATGGGCAGTTAATCATAATAAATATAGTGCAAAAAACAAACAAAATAACATTAAAAGCATGTAATCCGTCTGATTATTCCTCTGGCGGCGGCTCTTCAGTAATCTCAGGACTGGCTAACGTTACACATTAAAATGAAAGATGGCATACATTATAGGGTATAATGCAAGTATAAATTAACAGTAGTTCTGTCAATCGATTAAAACAAATTAAATTTATTTTGTGTAATTAATCGCACCTAACATTAATTAAAAAAAATAATTTATATTGTAATAATTTCACAGTTAATCTACAAATTAATGTAGAAAAAAAACATTAAAAACTGTATATTTCAAATATTTGATCTAACATGTAGGAAATATACAGAAATTGATTAAAGTTAGCAATCACTTCACAGTCTTCACAGCATACATTAATTAAATATACAGTAGTCAACATTTGAGGTGGATCAATCAGTTTTCCTGAGACAAGAACGGGTATTGTTCAAAATTCATGTATAACTTTGATGAAAGGTTTTGATCACTTCAAATGTTGACTACTGTAGATGAACCCTTGTTAAAGCTACAAAAGTTATTCAGATTTTCTCTTTTTCATTAATGGTTTATTAGGCTGCTGTCACTTTAAGATCCGAAGCCCCCTAGGAATGAGTATTACACTTCATTCGAGCACACTGATCACCCGGCTCATTTAGATCATGTGCCATCAGCCTCGTTAGCCAATGAGAAAGCTGGAGACGCAGTGCATGCTGGGTAAACACTGGAGTGAGGAGTTTTACAGGACACCGGTGTAGAGTCACAGAAACCCTGAGATGCTGTCAGTGCCGGTCTGGAGCGCCAGGGACCCGGTCCTGAGGAGAATCAGCTTCAGACACACATCTCTCTGTTCCTGTCAGGCGTACCGCGGTGAAGAGTGTGTGTGTGTCAGGAGAGTGTGTGTGTCAGGAGAGTGTGTGTCAGGAGAGTGTGTGTGTCAGGAGTGTGTGTGTCAGGAGTGTGTGTGTCAGGAGAGTGTGTGTCAGGAGAGTGTGTGTCAGGAGAGTGTGTGTGTCAGGAGAGTGTGTGTGTCAGGAGAGTGTGTGTCAGGAGAGTGTGTGTGTCAGGAGAGTGTGTGTGTCAGGAGTGTGTGTGTCAGGAGAGTGTGTGTCAGGAGTGTGTGTGTGTCAGGAGAGTGTGTGTGTCAGGAGTGTGTGTGTGTCAGGAGAGTGTGTGTGTCAGGAGTGTGTGTGTGTCAGGAGAGTGTGTGTCAGGAGAGTGTGTGTGTCAGGAGAGTGTGTGTGTCAGGAGAGTGTGTGTGTCAGGAGAGTGTGTGTGTCAGGAGTGTGTGTGTCAGGAGTGTGTGTGTGTGTCAGGAGTGTGTGTGTGTCAGGAGAGTGTGTGTCAGGAGAGTGTGTGTGTCAGGAGTGTGTGTGTCAGGAGAGTGTGTGTGTCAGGAGTGTGTGTGTCAGGAGTGTGTGTGTGTCAGGAGAGTGTGTGTCAGGAGAGTGTGTGTGTCAGGAGTGTGTGTGTGTCAGGAGTGTGTGTGTGTCAGGAGAGTGTGTGTCAGGAGAGTGTGTGTCAGGAGAGTGTGTGTGTCAGGAGAGTGTGTGTGTCAGGGAGTGTGTGTGTCAGGAGTGTGTGTGTCAGGAGTGTGTGTGTCAGGAGTGTGTGTGTGTCAGGAGTGTGTGTGTGTCAGGAGAGTGTGTGTCAGGAGAGTGTGTGTGTCAGGAGAGTGTGTGTCAGGAGAGTGTGTGTCAGGAGAGTGTGTGTCAGGAGAGTGTGTGTCAGGAGAGTGTGTGTCAGGAGTGTGTGTGTCAGGAGTGTGTGTGTCAGGAGAGTGTGTGTGTCAGGAGAGTGTGTGTCAGGAGTGTGTGTGTGTCAGGAGAGTGTGTGTGTCAGGAGAGTGTGTGTCAGGAGAGTGTGTGTGTCAGGAGAGTGTGTGTCAGGAGAGTGTGTGTCAGGAGAGTGTGTGTCAGGAGTGTGTGTGTCAGGAGTGTGTGTGTCAGGAGAGTGTGTGTGTCAGGAGAGTGTGTGTCAGGAGTGTGTGTGTGTCAGGAGAGTGTGTGTCAGGAGAGTGTGTGTCAGGAGAGTGTGTGTGTCAGGAGTGTGTGTGTCAGGAGAGTGTGTGTCAGGAGTGTGTGTGTGTGTCAGGAGAGTGTGTGTGTCAGGAGTGTGTGTGTGTCAGGAGAGTGTGTGTGTCAGGAGTGTGTGTGTGTCAGGAGTGTGTGTGTCAGGAGTGTGTGTGTGTCAGGAGAGTGTGTGTGTCAGGAGAGTGTGTGTCAGGAGAGTGTGTGTCAGGAGAGTGTGTGTGTCAGGAGTGTGTGTGTCAGGAGAGTGTGTGTCAGGAGTGTGTGTGTGTGTCAGGAGAGTGTGTGTGTCAGGAGTGTGTGTGTGTCAGGAGAGTGTGTGTGTCAGGAGTGTGTGTGTGTCAGGAGAGTGTGTGTGTCAGGAGAGTGTGTGTGTCAGGAGTGTGTGTGTCAGGAGAGTGTGTGTCAGGAGTGTGTGTGTGTCAGGAGAGTGTGTGTCAGGAGAGTGTGTGTCAGGAGTGTGTGTGTGTCAGGAGAGTGTGTGTGTCAGGAGTGTGTGTGTGTCAGGAGAGTGTGTGTGTCAGGAGTGTGTGTGTGTCAGGAGAGTGTGTGTCAGGAGAGTGTGTGTGTCAGGAGTGTGTGTGTGTCAGGAGAGTGTGTGTGTCAGGAGTGTGTGTGTGTGTCAGGAGAGTGTGTGTCAGGAGAGTGTGTGTCAGGAGAGTGTGTGTCAGGAGAGTGTGTGTCAGGAGTCTGTGTGTCAGGAGAGTGTGTGTCAGGAGAGTGTGTGTGTCAAAAGTGTGTGTGTCAGGAGTGTGTGTGTCAGGAGAGTGTGTGTCAGGAGTGTGTGTGTCAGGAGAGTGTGTGTCAGGAGAGTGTGTGTGTGTCAAAAGTGTGTGTGTCAGGAGAGTGTGTGTGTCAGGAGTGTGTGTGTCAGGAGAGTGTGTGTCAGGAGTGTGTGTGTGTCAGGAGAGTGTGTGTCAGGAGAGTGTGTGTCAGGAGTGTGTGTGTCAGGAGTGTGTGTGTCAGGAGTGTGTGTGTGTCAGGAGAGTGTGTGTCAGGAGAGTGTGTGTGTCAGGAGAGTGTGTGTGTCAGGAGTGTGTGTGTCAGGAGTGTGTGTGTCAGGAGTGTGTGTGTCAGGAGTGTGTGTGTGTCAGGAGAGTGTGTGTCAGGAGAGTGTGTGTGTCAGGAGAGTGTGTGTGTCAGGAGTGTGTGTGTCAGGAGTGTGTGTGTCAGGAGTGTGTGTGTCAGGAGTGTGTGTGTCAGGAGTGTGTGTGTCAGGAGTGTGTGTGTCAGGAGAGTGTGTGTGTCAGGAGTGTGTGTGTCAGGAGTGTGTGTGTCAGGAGTGTGTGTGTGTGTCAGGAGTGTGTGTGTCAGGA